TATATACCAGCTAGCCAAACTTCAGTAACCCTACAAACGTCACTGCTGTTTAGTTTTCTGTCTTCATTTATGTTGGAAGTGATAACAGAGCTGTACGTTTTAATTTGTTTCCAAAACCCCGCAGTCAGGACACGCTATATTGTATTTAGATAGAAGCTAGCGAGCTAACTTCCTGCTAACTTCTAACTTTTCATGGATGCCTGGATGTTAAACTCAATTGTTACACCTGGTAAAGCAGAACGCGGATCATTTTATTAAAGATGAAAGACTTTAGACAGTTTTCAACTCTCAGTAATGCCATAGTGATCGTTTGATATATGGACCTGCAGCGGAGTTTAGGCCCAGACACGGCTAGTGACGTCAGACTTAACGACCGGATAGATTCTTTGCATCACCGTTGTTTTGTTTGAACAAATGGCAAAAAATGTTCATTTGATGTTTCCCATAATGAGAAACTTTACCTGTGAGTTTAATAAGGATGACAAACAAGCACAAACACTAATGCCATCTAATTTAAGCCAAGTGTGGTCGCCTCTAAAGGAAAAGGAATAAAAGATTAAATTTAATAAAATTAATAAACAATCAATATCAATAAAGATGGCAACAAATAATTGCTCTCTGTTTTCATTCAGAAACATCTACCGTATGTAGACATAGCTATGTCTTTACTTGCATGGTTCTTGAATTTTGACAGGGTGGTATCGCAAACTGCTCCAGGAGTTCATGGAGCTGCCCAGTACAGCAACATTTAAAAAACAATGCACCCAGAGCACTAGTGAGGATGTTGAGGATTTTTCACTCATGCCTCCTCGTTATCATCATCACCATTCCCTCTCACGCAGGTTAATGATTGGCTTCATGAGCGTCTCGGCATTCCTGTCCATGTGGATCAGCAACACAGCCACCACAGCCATGATGCTACCCATCGCACACGCTGTGCTACAGCAGCTGAAAGATACAGAGACCCAGGCAAATGAGCGTGATCTCCAGGCCCAAGCTGCGGACAACCACGCATTTGAGCTGGAAGTTCAAACCAAGCCGGAGATGATACACGAAAGAGACACACAGGTTCCTGTGTGTAAGTAAAAATGCTACATACACATATGGGCTTCTAGAAGAAAACCCTCCCAATAACCTCTCTGTCTTATTGTGTTTTGATCCAGATGTACATGACACACAGCGAGAGTTCAGAGAAAAAGCCATAGAAGCGAAGTATGACCTTCTGACCAAAGGGATGAGTCTTAGTGTGTGTTACTCTGCCAGCATTGGAGGCACTGCCACGCTCACAGGGACCACGCCTAATCTCATCCTCAAGGGCCAAATGGACGAGTAAGGCAAAAAACCCAACTCACACACAAACAGAAATGATCTTCAAGGTGTGTCACTGCTCATTGAACCACTTGTATCTTCTCTTCACATCCCTTTGTTTTTCTTTCTGTGAAGGATCTTCCCTAACAATACTGACGTGATCAACTTTGCCAGCTGGTTTGGCTTTTGCTTTCCCAGCATGGTGCTCATGCTGGTGCTCGCCTGGTTCTGGCTTCATTTTATGTTCCTGGGCTTCAAGTAAGTATAATCAGCCAGAAACAAACCCAGTTATTTTAAACTATCCTCAGAAAAGCTGCTCAAACAGCACAAAATAAATTAATCTACACTGTAAGTAAAACTGACTTTTTTAGCATCTGCAGAGATATGCTGTATCTCTTTGTTGCTCTCCTCAGTTTGAAGAAGTCATTTGGCTGTGGTGAGAAAAGTGAAAGCGACAGAGCGGCATACACAGTGATGAAAGTGGAGTACAAGAAGCTGGGACGTATCAAGTTTGCAGAGGTGGCGGTGCTCGTCCTCTTTATCTTGCTCGTGCTTCTGTGGTTTACCAGAGAGCCGGGCTTCATGCCTGGCTGGGCCACAGTGCTGTTCAATAAGGAGGCTGCGTGAGTTCTTTTTTAAGCATGACCTTTAGATATAAATGAAGTGAAGCACCACATATTACCAACAAAAAGACCAAACAGCTAGCCATGAAATGATCAATTCAACACGTGCTTTCCTGTGCATTAAAATGTATGCAGCACTTGTGGTATCACCCAGTGGTTTATAAAGTCCTGCATTAATGCCTCTGAGGCAGGATGAGTCAACATATTTTACAAGCAAAGTCACACAAAGTCTTCTGGCACCTTTTGTGCTGAATGCACTGAAGTCTACTGAGACACAAATGAAATAAAATAATAATATTAATAAGATAACAAAATAATTTTCAAACAAATGCCAGATAAATATTTATGATACTTGCTTTATGTTCATAGTAACTGTAACAGTTGTATAATATGTTTTATTTTAAAATTATGCTTTGACTTTACAATTCTGCAGCTTTGTTTGTGATTCTGCAGCTAACACTTTTGCTATAAAATATAAAAAGTGACCTGATCTCTCTGCATTAAGATCTATAAAGTGAATGGACATTGAGCCAATTCAGCATTGCAAACCAAGGTAGCAAACATGAGCTGACAGATAAATACCTGGATGCTGCTTTAATCCTGCTCAGAGGATCTCAGCGATTGGCTCTGACCCATTCTTATACAACATCCCCTAGTTTGTATTCATAAAACACATGCTTACATCACATAAAGTTAACAGATAATTTGTGATGGTGGAATGTCAATCACTAAAACTGGAACACAGAATGAACAGGCATATATTTTATTAGATTTACATTAAATGATCCAAAAGCAACAGAAACACAGGTAAGATGCTCACACGTTAGCCTCAGTTTAAACAGGTGCGTTATAAAGGAAAAGCGAATGCCAGTACAGTTATTTTTGTACCAGACAAACATTTTAAACATTCATTATTTATTTCTGCTGTAAAGTCTACATGAAAAGCTGAAATGCCCGTCTGAGTATCCGCAATTTGGGCACTTCTGAACTGGAGTAATATTTCTGCAGGAAATGTTCACAAGCGCAACAAAGTTGTAGCTAAAGTGCTCATTTTCTTTCTTTCTTTTTTATTAAACTTTCTTTTTCCTTTTTGTTAGTTTTTTATAAAAGAGAAAAATCGGTCAGACTGAAAAAAATGGCAACATAAATGTATTTCAACTACAGTTCGGTTGTTTTGCCCCACAGTTGACAGTAAATATGATGTTACACATTTTTCTCTTCATCATTTTTAAAAGGCAGCATATATAATCATGTTCTCTCGTGTCTGTCAGGTTTGTGACAGACGGAACGGTTGCCATCCTAATGTCATTGCTCTTCTTCGTCATCCCCTCTCAGGTGCCGTTTAGCAATTACGGATACACAAATGAAGGTGAAGTATTCATTTTTAACCTTGGTGTAACACACTGCTTCTAAAAATGTTCATGTGAACTCAGTTTGGGCTTACTGGAGCACTGGGTGAAGATTGCTTGGCAGGCTTGATGTTGCACTTTCAAACTAATTACTTGTTGATGTTTAAACTTCATCTGTGTCCCACAGGTAAGAGGATAAAGGCTCCACCGGCTCTGTTGACCTGGAATGTGGTTCATGAACGAATGCCCTGGAATATAGTGCTGCTGTTGGGAGGAGGTTTTGCTCTTGCTGCTGGCAGTGAGGTAAACACCCTTGGACTCCATGTCATCACTTTTTATTATTTCATTCTCCTTTACAGAATATCTAAAAAGAATTTTGGCAGTTAAATGCTAGTCTTGGTGATTACTGGATACTTAAATGCTTGAATCAGAAAATAAATACTGGTCTCTTGTTCGTTTTTGGTGATTGAATTTTGGAGGTTTTGTTAATATGCTTATCATTTGCACGAAAATTAATGACAATTCCATCTAGTTGAGGAGAGATTTCAGTCAAGGGCAAATTGGTAGACCGATAGCAGACATCCTCTGAGCCATGGTGGTAGCTTTTCTCAAATACTAAACATTTGTTTGTGTATTTTTCCTGCTACCTTTACAGGCATCAAATCTATCCAAGTGGTTGGGAGAAAACCTGTCACCTCTTCAGAATATTCCCCCCTTTGCTATCTCACTGGTGCTTTCCCTACTTATTGCCACATTCACCGAGTGCTCCAGTAACACAGCTACCACCACCCTGTTCCTGCCCATATTGGCGTCAATGGTAAATGGAGCTCATATGTTGACAGATGTGTGCGCACGTATGTTCTCCATAAATCTAACTGTGTTGTGTTTTGCGCTCCTTTAGGCCCAAAATATTAAGCTCCACCCACTCTACGTGATGCTGCCCTGCACTATTGCTGCCTCTCTGGCCTTCATGCTACCTGTGGCCACACCACCCAATGCCATTGCCTTTTCTTTTGGAAACCTCAAAGTCCTAGATATGGTAAGATTGGCATACATATGACATACAAACATATGCTGCCTTTGCGATTTTAGTTTATTTGAGCTAATAAGACTGTCTTTGATTGGCCTTGTTGGAGTGGGAAAAGCAATACAATTGTCCTTCTTGTCACTTCTCAAAGTTACAAGAGAGCTATCTGCTGCTAGTATCTTCAATTTGCTCTTTAAAATCAGTGACTATTGAGCTGTATCATGACACTTAAATCAGCCTACATGTGTTGTAGCTCATCCATTCTCAGTGCTTTCCATGCATTTTAACTTATCCAGATAAGTTTATCTGGATGAAGATTGGGAAAAACCAGCTAAGTTTTCTTATTAGATTCACTGTTAGGTTGTGAGACACACGTGGTTTTTCACCTCTATCACCCTTTGGGGAATTTATTAAACTGTATAAAAAACCAAAAAATGCAGTAAAAATGAAAGCAAGTAAAATTTGACTGTAGTGAAAATTCCCCCCATGGACACATGAGTAATCAGCAGAAGATCCCGTCAGATGTTGTGGCCTACATTGCATTGTTGTGTCTTATTTCTACCCCCCCCCTCCCCCCCCCAATTAAATTGACTAAATTGAACAACAACCTAATATTTTTATAATATGCAATAAAATGCATAATGCCCGATTGTGGTTTGGTATATGTGACCCAGGCTCATAGAAAACAGGCCTAGCCCCCGGATCTGGCATCATGTTGGCACTTCTGACTGACCGGTGTCATGGCAGGGTGTATGTCAACCAGATGTGGGCCAGGTCTGGCAATGATGGCACTGTTTATGTTCCTTTTTTCCTATTTTAGTTAGAGGACCCAAATGCAATGTTGCAATACTATACTGCTATGGTAGCCAACATTTCAAATGCAGGTTTGGCAGGTTTGTGAGTGTACACTTTATCCACAACCTAGTGAGGGTTCACTCATGTTTTCCACTGGGTGGCTGTAGCCCAGGATGTAAAGCAGGTCACCTACTGATCGGAAGGTTAGTGGTTTGTTCCCTGGCTCCTCCAGTCTGTATGTCAAGTTTGAATGTGTATTAATGTAGTTAGGAAGCACTCAGTTTAGAGAAAGTGTGTGTGATTTGGTGAATGTGGTATGTTGTGTAGAGCACTTTGAGTAAGTGGAGTAGAAAAGCGCTATAAAAGATTCAGTCCATTCACTGTCTGAACAGAGTTTCATCTTGTTACTTTTGCACTATCATGTTCCGGCACATGTTGTTATTACATGGCTTGATTAAGGTACACATTAGGCTGACATCTGGTGCCAGAGCTGAAACTGTTCTGGGCCAGCACAGGGCCAGCAGTGTGTCTGCAACTGACCTGTGGCTGCACACAACTTATACATGGCCCACATACCGCAAAGAATGACGGCCCTTTGGTGGCCCAGATCTGGTTTGCCAGAGGTAATCCACACATGGGCCAGCACAGGGCCACCAGTGTGTATGCAACTGGCCTTGTGCTGGGCCATGTGTAAGCACATTGTGTGGGCCAGATCTGGGCCATACCAATTTTGCTATGTGGGGTAATACAGATAAGATCTTGGTTAGTTGTGTTATTCGACAGACAAATATGCAAACTCACAGAGCATAATTTAGAATTTTTAATAAAATTCTAAAGTTTTAGCCATCCTGTGTCATCATCTGATTATTACATTTTGTTCCTTCAGGTGAAAGCTGGTTTCATGCTCAACATCATCGGGATCCTGTGCATTAATTTAGCCATCAACACCTGGGGAAGAGCCATGTTTAACTTGGACACTTTTCCAGATTGGGCCAACACTACAAATAGTAAACCTTGAATTTGTTTACAGCCTGTAAAAAAACAAATCCAATTCTACAGTCACACAAGAAGACACTGAACAAAGTATCACATTTTCCAACTTCTTCTTCAAACCAATGAGGAAAAAGCTCAGAAATCCACTGTGTGAGGTAAAACTTTTCTACCTTTGGCAGACAATAGTTTGTTGTTGTTGCAGGATACCATTACTCATGGTATCCTGCTCAGGAAAGCTACATAAGAATGTTTTCAGGTCCTTTAAAAAGAAGAAGAAAAAAGTCATAGCAGAGTTTTTCCACTCTCACTGAAGACAAATAAGTTAAAGATTAAATGACAATTTAAATTTGGTTATAGAAAGAGCAATCAAAGATTTTCACTTGCAGCTGAAACAAACTTTAAGCTCTATCAGACTATTATATACAGACCCTCTTTGAGGACTTCCTTTGAGGACGTCATTTCAGTGACAGAACCAAAGAAAGTGTTTAAACCAGGTTATTTGCTCATACACTTTTCAATGAATTTGTTATCTTATCAGTCTGTGTATCATTTACTGATAATGCATGCATTATCTGCAGCATAGTTACCTTTGAAAGGCAAAAATGAAAACTAATTCATGGTGTCAGTTAACTTATTACTGTGGTCATTTTGTTGGACTTTTTTTTGGGTGTCATATTTAATTTTATATGTGTTTTTGTCACAACTTCTTTTCATAAGGAGGAATTTTACTTATTTTATCATTTATAATTACCAATGTGACCTTTTTCTGGTTGTGATTGTTTATATAACAATTCATATAATAATAATAATGGAAGTGCTCTAATTTCTTGCTAAGAAAACTGCAGGTTCAAATTTTGTTCAGACTCCCGGATGAGCCCCCAAATGTGTTATGGACAAAAAAGTACAACGGAAACTTAGCAAAACCTATTTAGAAGCAGAATGTCAAAATCCACCTTACAGCAACTTACTTATTACATGTTACATCTTCTTGTTGTGTTGGCTATCTAAAGTGAGGTTGGGCATTTAATTTTCCCAAGCGGTCATATGAGAAACTGGGACTGTTGTGACAGGATACACCAATAACCTAAATTTAAAGTAATAGTGAGCAGAATTGATATCAGCTGTTTATGCAGCCTTCTACAACAGTCCCAGTTTCTTATGTGCGCCCTAGGAAACACAAATGACCTACCCCTGATCTGAAATGTAGAAAGTTAAACAGATTTTTGGTGAGCTGAAGCCATTTTTATTACCCTGCTAAAACACCCAATGAAATAAATGCATTGCTTTTCATGCTTAAAAAAAAAGCAGAGAAGCTAGATATACTGTAATGCAGGGGTCGGCAACCTTTCTGATGACGAGTGCCATCTAAAATTTCCTCAGAAGTCAATGTGCCATATGATTGCATTAGCAATAAATTTAATAATGATCTATATGAACAGTTACAAACTATATAGAACAACTTTATAGAATTATATTTCTTCGCAGATGTTGGCAGCTATCAGCGAATAACTTTTTATCAATAACTAGAACTCCATAACAGCAAATGAACTGTACAACAGAAAATGCAAATGCTATTTATGGTCTCCTCACAACAATGATAAGAAAAATAAACAGGGCCAATATGGCATTTTTGTTAATACAGAGATACACATGTTAATGTGATCTCTGGTCACCCACTCAGAGACACAGGTCTAGAAGTGTCCAGCATTCAGACGGCTACCTGAGGACACTCTTCATGTGAGAGAAAATAAGCTCACACAAATATGTAGAGCCAAATACTATCAATAAGACCTCTGCAATGATTTAAAGACAGTTAACCTTGTCAGGCAGTGATGTCCAGCAGGTGAAAATGCAAGCACCATGAACACGCACAGCTATAGATTCCAGCTGCGTACATAGTTCTGCAAACT